CATATTTCACATTTTCTTGTATACAAATGTTATGATAGTTGATGTAAGAAGGGTTTATTGAAGATTATAGATCTAATCTGTCATATTTGAAAGAGTTATAGAAATAACTCACCAGATTTGTTTAAAAAGTAATTGTGTTGATATTTTGAAATAGAAGTGAATTTGGTGGCGTGTATTAATACGACTCAATACGTTCAAAAGGTGCTTGATAGGGTTTTTAGCATTCAATGCCTCACTAAATCCTTTATGGAAGAGCTTGATGGTAGACAAGTGTGAGACATTTCTAAATTTGACGCATCAGCGACCAAAATGATGTCTGATACAAATCTGTATTTGTGACTGTTGCTGGTATGTCCCATGCTTTGTTTAAGCGGACACTAGCCTCGTCCTTACATGCGGTTGCAACCAGTGGGGCAGGATATGCGCACCTTTTCGCGGACACCTGGTATCGTTACCACAGTGATTCATAAATACGCATATGATAAAGTCGAAATCGTACAATGGGGTAGGCTTTAACAGAGGTTTCTCATGATTATGGTAACCATTTTGTCACTTTTATTTACAATGTTCGTCACTCACATGGTTGTTTACACAGCACATAGTCTTTGTTTCTAATAATCTATAGAATAGAATACTCGAGTGTAATGTTAATGAGAGACACACAACTCGACCGTGCACTGCTCTTTTATTTTTCAATATTTACCCCAAATGCATTGAAATGGTGACGTTGAGAATAGTATTACGTTTTAAATATTACCACGCAATAATGATTTGACAGATAGTTCTATCTCGACACCAGTTCCAATGACAATCGACTCTGTTTGTACAGAGATTTCTTAAGAATATGGAAAGGGTTTTGTCGCTTTTACTTGTCATTTTTAATTCCGTGTAATATTTCATGTTGGACTCGTGTCCTATGTTGTCCTGTTTCCAATATATTATATATGTTTGTTTACATTATCACATGGTCTTTGTTTCTAATAATGGACTTTGCTTTTACTGAGAGGTTTCTTATTATTATGGGAAATGGTTTTCACTTTTATTTACAATGTTCTTCTGGTTGTTTACATTAGCTCACGGACTATTTATCTAAGAAAATGTACGTTCACAAAGAATTCTTGAGTGTGATGTTAATGAAGGACACATCACAACTCAACTATGCACTGCTATTTTATTTTCCAATACATTAAAATGGTGACGTTAGGAATACGTATTCATTATCACTTAATAAAAATAGTATGACGGCTTTCGCTTTTATTTGTCATTTATAATTACGTGTAATGTCTTCATGTCGTCCTCTGTTGATCTGTTTCCAAACGAATCCAGGTTCGCCCCGATTATGTTTCTAGGTTTATCAGCACCATATCCGTGCTTGTGGGTTTCACCGAAGTGGTAAACATCTGAGACCTGTATCACTTCGGGCTTTCCTCCCACATTAAGCTGACACGCCGTGATATAACTGGAATACTGCGGCGTTAAACCCAACTCACTCACTCACTCTGTTTCCAAAATGCATGTTATCACGTATGTCGTGTCCAGATGTGCAGTAGATGTGTGTTACACCCTACACTAAATACGTAGATATGGTTTTTGTAGAAGAGAGTATGTTACATTAAACACACTAGTGTTTTGCTCAACATTAAAATAGTTACATGTCATTACAACTCGGTTTTGTTTTCAAACCAAAGATGTGTGAAACTTGCTTTGCTTTTTTATAATAAGTTCATGTTGCCTTCACTACGATTAATGTTTCTAATTCGCTCCGATTATGAACGCTGTTGTGTCAGCAACATATATGTGCACGTCGGTTTCATCAAACCCGTAAAATGTCTTATACACTCTTTCCTCCAGAATTACGCTGACCCGCACTTAAATGACTATCAACTACAAATACCTAATACTATTTTTCAAACTAGCGGAAACCACAATCTTGAAAATTAAGTGTAGAAACAAGATTGTTAATGCATGCATTATCTGGTGTCAAAGCCGGGAACAAGATCTTAAGGTAATGGATGTGTACTGATGTATGGTGTCACAGTTTGATACAGTACCTTCTGATGATGCATGGAAACAGGTGCGTGGTGTCAAACCGGAACAGGATCTCCAGATGTTGAATGCAAACAGGTGTTTGATGTCACAAACCGGAACAAGGTCTTCAGCCGCCCGATTTGATTGATACTCGATGTCCGTGTAGAAAATGATCGCCAGATGCTAGATGTTTACTGCTGATTGATTTCACGGTTTGATACTTGATCTTGGGATGCTGAATAATTACTGGTGCGTGGTGTCACTATCTGGTACTTGATATACAGATGCTGCATGTGTACTGTTGCGTGGTGTAACATTCCAATACATGGTCTTCAGATATGCTGCATGTTCACCTATGCGTGGTTTCCCAGCCTGGTAAGGATATTTAGACACTCAATCTTTACTGGTGTTGGGTAGATACACAAACAGATACAGGATCTTTAGAAATGCTGCATGCTCACTTATGCGTGGTGTTCCAACCTGGTAAGGATATTCAGACATTCAATCTTTACTGGTGTTGGGTAGATACACAAACAGATACAGGATCTTAAGATGCTGCATGCTCACTTATGCGTGGTTTTCCAGTCTGGTAAGGATATTCAGACATTCAATCTTTACTGGTGTTGGGTAGATACACAGACAGATACAGGATCTTCAGATGCTGCATGGAAATAAGTACGTCGTGTCACTTTGTGGAACAAGATCTCCAAATGCTGCATAAACAGATTCGTTATGTCACAGTCAGGAAGAATACTTTCCGATACTGTATGTTTACTGTGTATCAACTATGTAGCACCGAATGATGCTACTTAACTGTATGTACATACACTGCACTAGATATTGGTGAAATACTCAATTACTTTAGATGTTCCAAGTGTGAAATACATCTTAGAAAATGAAAATAATCACTACACCAACATAAGAGGGTGTGCATAACCCACATGTAGCCATCTCTGTTCAGAAAACACAGGGTGGACCCACATTTGGAGGAAACTAATATTCACGAGGTTTTTATTTCATTGGCAAGAACAGTTTTTAATTTGCTACAAGTTATGGATTAAAAAACGAACATGAATAAAATGCAGTAAACTACGGTTATAACGAACTCAAATTAACCACTAATTTTATATCGTTATAACCGTAGTTCGTTATGAGCATTTAATTTTGGTGTGAAAGTATTAATAAAATAACTTTCTTTTATCTTTCTCAGTGCATCATTGTCACATTTGTAAAACGGGAATATCACAAAATTTGGTGTTTTATTCCCAGCACACTGATCAATGTGTTGACTGAGTGGGATACACCGGCAAGAGGGGTCCCTTATTTGTTGTCGGTGGACCCTCACTCTCGCTCTTAGGGTGTCCCCTGTCTGTCCAATGTATTTGGCCTTGAATCCAACACATTGTATGACATAAATCAAGTTTTTTGAATCACAATTCATATTTTTACGGACATAGAAAGTTTTTCCGTCTTTGAATGTAAAAGAATAACATTGTAAAACATGAGGGCAAGTACAACAATTTGGTGTGTAACACTTTTGTGCTGTTTTCATTCTTGTTTTCCATTTGAGAAAGAAGCCCTAATAAGAATCTGTTTCAGATTTTGGCTCTGTCTTTCACTTTTTATAAGTTTATTTTGTGATAATTTTTGTTTTAGTTCTTTACACTTATTTAAGGAATACAGTGTTTCCCGAACACTTCCAAATATTTCCGGGTTTTGGGGATTAAAGGTTGTAACAAAAGGGAGAATATTTATATACAGCTCATCTTTGGACATTTGTATTATGCTATTTTATTTATGTGGCCGTCCCAACAGTCATTTATACGCGCGTCGCTGACTTCCTGACAAGCCGCCCTTCATGACAGCAGAACCATTTTACTCTCATGACGCTATAAGCAGTGTAAAGGATACATGGACGTATTAAACATAAACAAAATATTCTTTCATACGTAGATGTGTATGTTCATTATGTACACAAATATAAAAATGATTTTCTGGAGGACGCATACATAAGTAATTTGTACTCATTGGGTATTATTGGGTTAAGGGCAATTTTAATATACTCAGTTATTTCACGCACAATTTTGAGAGTTATAACATATTTTCCTGTTTCATTTGTATTAAATATATTACACATAGCATGCACACTCACACACACACGCGCGAAAACTCAACGAAAAGGAGGGTCCACTGCACGACTCTGACATTATCACATGCATGCGCCCAGGCGGTCGTGTCAAGCGAGGGTACTCCGCCCCGCCACAGTGTCTACTACAGTTGTTCTGGTCGTTAAATGAAAACCCTGACATGTTCTTGACTTTAAAGCACGTTTCTTTCTTTGTTACAAGGCGGGTGAAGTGGATGCATATGCCGACTTCATTGTTTGATGACTTCAATGACGTGGAGAAATTCGAGTTTAGATGCGGATGATGTTTAAGTGTTTTATCAAGTGCATGTTTGACGTTTCGTTTTCGGTGTTGGTAACAGCTATCGCAAATCTATCGTATGTTTAGAAAGATTTCATTATGTACTCCGGTTACCACACTAAAATATCACCATACACATATTACTTTCTATAAACCAGTCTCTCTATGGGGAGTCATAACACAGACATAAAAGTAGAACTAGCATATCAAAAAGCCTTTGAATTTTTGCAACGGAATTTCATTTATTGATGTCAGGTCACTGTGATATGAGCTATATATATAAATGTGTGCAATTGTTTGTTTTCATATGACTAGCAACGCGCACCTGTCACCTCTGCACTCTTGCTCTGAAACATTGTTGTGTAACTGTTATGCATGAATATTTTGTCAGGATTTTGAATAAGATTCAATGACAGTTTTCTTTCAATGAATAAAGCCTTTTGTAAGTTTCTAAATCTGTGCAGTTGATATGTGCATCAGTTTAGCGTCACTAGCAACACCGTACATGGCCAGTAATGTGCAAGTATTTGTCGTCACATGACTAGCAACGTCTCTCTATATGAACAGCTTGTGTGTATCAAACACTCATTCGTCTTGTCTCCCTGGACTCGTAATCGTCTCAGAGAGTGCAGCGTCATAAAATTCTAAATCATCATGGTAAGTTGAAGTTTCATATTTGTGTACGCAATGTAATGTTGATATTGGGCGACAAGAAAACATTTTTGAATCATACATTTTGTGTTCTTGCTGCAATTGTAACTAACTTGAGGACTTTTATCATTTTGTGTATATTTTACCCTCAGTTGAAACTATCGATTACTATTAGGTGGGTCAGTTTTATGATTTAATATTTGGACGGTGTACAGTAACTGGGTCCATGCGATCATGAGTTCATTTTCGTTTTTAGAGGGAATGCGTCTCCATCCATGTTGGTCAAGCCGGTGTCCAGATGGGCAATGCCTGCTGGGAGTTGTACTGTTTGGAGCACGGTATCCAGCCTGATGGTCAGATGCCCTCTGACAAGACCATCGGGGGTGGTGACGATTCCTTCAACACCTTCTTCAGCGAGACTGGAGCAGGGAAACATGTCCCCAGGGCTGTCTTCGTTGATCTCGAGCCAACTGTTATTGGTAAGGACTTTCATTGCACATAAGATAGACTTTTTAAGTCATGTTTAACCCTTTTCGAAATACTTTTTGACGTTTATAGCCAAGACCTTAAATTATTATATTGTAATTTGTTCCAACGATATCAGTAAATGTGCTATCGTGTCTGTGGTTTTTAAGTGATCCATTCATATAATTTTCACCGCTATTTTGCCTTTTACGCCAAATTGAATCTGTTTCGGCGGATAAGCTAGACTGTTTATTCTCTGGTGTTAAAACCATCAAGTCATTTCTGAAGTCAGTAATACATAGTACATCATGTGTGCGTAATACTTATTTGTTAATAAAGTCTTAACCTTCATTTTTTCTTTCTAAAGATGAGGTCCGTACCGGAACCTATCGTCAGCTGTTCCATCCAGAACAGCTGATTACTGGGAAGGAGGACGCCGCCAACAACTACGCCCGTGGTCACTACACCATCGGCAAGGAGATTGTCGACCTCGTCCTTGACCGCCTCAGGAAACTGGCTGACCAATGCACTGGACTCCAGGGCTTCCTCATCTTCCACAGCTTCGGTGGTGGCACTGGCTCAGGTTTCACCTCTCTGTTGATGGAGCGTCTGAGTGTTGACTACGGAAAGAAGTCCAAGCTGGAGTTCGCCATCTACCCTGCTCCTCAGATCTCCACTGCTGTGGTCGAGCCTTACAACTCCATCCTGACCACCCATACCACTCTGGAGCACTCGGACTGCGCCTTCATGGTCGACAACGAGGCCATCTACGACATCTGCCGTCGTAACCTCGACATCGAGCGTCCAACTTACACCAACTTGAACCGTCTGATTGGTCAGATCGTCAGCTCCATCACTGCGTCTCTCCGTTTTGACGGTGCCCTGAACGTGGATATAACAGAGTTCCAGACCAACTTGGTGCCCTACCCACGTATCCACTTCCCTCTGGCTACCTACGCCCCTGTCATCTCTGCAGAGAAGGCCTACCATGAGCAACTGTCAGTTGCTGAAATCACCAACGCCACTTTCGAGCCCGCCAACCAGATGGTCAAGTGTGATCCCCGTCACGGCAAGTACATGGCATGCTGCATGCTGTACCGTGGTGACGTCGTCCCTAAGGATGTCAACGCTGCCATCTGTACCATCAAAACCAAGAGAACCATCCAGTTTGTGGACTGGTGTCCCACTGGTTTCAAGGTCGGAATCAACTACCAGCCACCGACTGTTGTTCCCGGTGGTGACTTGGCCAAGGTCCAGAGAGCTGTGTGCATGTTGAGCAACACAACTGCCATCGCTGAGGCATGGGCTCGTCTTGACCACAAGTTCGATCTGATGTACGCCAAGCGTGCCTTCGTCCACTGGTACGTTGGTGAGGGTATGGAGGAGGGCGAGTTCTCCGAGGCCCGTGAGGACTTGGCAGCTCTGGAGAAGGACTACGAGGAGGTCGGTGTTGACTCCGTCGATGGAGAAGGCGAGCAAGAGGGCGAGGAATATTGAAAGTGAAATGACTTTCTTATAAATAACTTATTTGGTGACATTTTTGGAAGAGGGAAATCATAACCATTAAAGTAAAAGAAATGTCAATGTGACAATACTCATCCATGTTAAAATAAATGAATAAATGTAATAAACGTTTTAAGTTGCCTTCAATTGATCCTCTTATTGACGTTAAATCATTATTGATTGTGGGGATACATTTCTCATAATGGGACAGGAAGTCGAACATATATATGGTTAGAATGGCAAATGACCACTCCATGGGCTTTGTATAATTTGCATATTATTTTTGTTGTGATCAAACTTATGATGTACCTTTCCGTACCTTCAGCTGTAAGAATTGCAACTGAAGGACTGTTACTGAAGATTATTTTCCAAAGAAATCCTAAAGTTTCTCTCTGCACACTGTTAGAAGAACTTTCTGAATTAGAAACTCGCCAGACTAATGTGATTCGTGAGGTTGAAAACAATGAAGCTATTGATTCATTTGTTTATCAATGTAGCTCGAAGTACCTAGTTTCATCAGTTCATGGGTCGTTTTGATTCACTGTGGTGGTTAATAGTTTCCTTTTTAGAGTGGGTTGTTATCCCCTACAAAATCAATAGTGCTAGCCTTGGATGTCCCTACCTTAACATCATGGACTATGGGATGCTTGATTTACCGTATGGCATCCAGTCAAAATAATCCTTCTGTGAATCCTTTATACAACGGGAAATGCCCCAAACAGACGTTCACTGTACAATTCTTGTCAGAACTAGTATTACCTTCAGTGCTGGTTGAATCTCTAGTGAATCGTTTCCCTCTTTTGTCGTCATTTTGACAGTCACCATGGGAACTACCAAACATTCTCTTTAACCGTAGGGTATAACTATTGCCTGCATTAAGCCGGACTTCATTAATTTTACATTTGAAGTCATACATTTGATGAGGCAGATTTGCAATTGATTGGTGTTCAATTTATAGCAATAAAGTAATGATTGGGGACTGTTTCTGGCCAAAAAGAAAGTCACTTGATATACTAAGTGTTTACAAATTATATATTTTAATACATTTCTCAATTTTCAGACCCGTGAAGATTCCGGGGTAGAATAGGTCTTCAGCAACCCATGCTTGCCGTAAATGGCGACTATGCTTGTCGTAAAAGGCGACTAACGGGATCGGGTGGTCAGGCTCGCTGACTTGGTTGATACATGTCATCTATCCCAATTGCGTGGATCGATGCTCATGATGTCTATCACTGGATTGTCTGGTGCAGACTCGATTATTTTCAGACCGCCGTCATATAGCTGGAATATTGCTAAGTGCGGCGTTAAACAACAAACCAACCAACCAAATCTCAATTTTCACTCAAATACTAGTATACGAGAGATTAACTCGCAAATGTAAGCACTAAGATCTGATACTCCTGACGTTAATTATGAGATGATACACATTTTCATCCCAAGGATGCAAATGCTGCTACTTCAATAATCAGCACCAAGATGACCATACACTTTCGAATGATCTTTTTAGTACCATTTTCCTGGACTCAGTGGATGCACTATGCATCAATACAAAACAAATGAATCACAAAAAGGGGAAAAATATTTCTTTCATCCTTCAAACTATCGGTCTAATTTTGAAACGGTGAAGCGCCCATAATGAAATAATCAAAAAGTGCGGAACCCACTTGTTTGTAAGTCTTTGGTATGCATTTTATAACTTGGATGTTTCACTCTTCCTGTCAGTGCTTCGGCGATAACGACCATCAGACCCCTTGACGTGAAATCTATGAGCGAAGTTTCGAATTCCGGTTCGCCTTGATTGTGTTTCGTAGTTTGTCAGCACTTACTGGTGCTCGTTGGTTTAAACCAAAGGGACGCGCAAGACCTGAATAATTTTAGGTTTACCTCCCGCATCAAGCTGACACGCCGTGATTAAACTGAAATACTGTTCAAAGCGATGTTAAAGCTAGCTCACTCACTCACTCACTCACTCACTCACTCACTCACTCCATGAATCTAAATAACGCACCAAGACACAACACACAATACTTACAACAACTCACTTTCTACTTAAGGTGATACTATCAACCTAATATTACCGATGAAACTTTTAATTCACTTGCAAACAAACAACAAACACAATCATATGACAGGACAAAGAAAACTCACCAATAATCTCATAAAAAAACTCTATACTCCCTCAAGCAGATGACACCCCAAGTATCTTCCTAATACAATATATATATATATATAAATATATATGCCAAGTACTGAATTGTAATTTTCCCTTCCCGGAAACATTACATGCTATCATTATATTTTGGGTTCATCATGGTTGGTGATTGAGTGAATGTTTGAGTTAATGTTTGCGTGAGTATTTGAGTGCTTTAGTGAGTGAGTTGGTTGATGCGTAGGCGGGTTGGTGGGTGGGTGACTGAGCGGTTGAGTGAGTGTGTGTGTAAGTGAAAGAGTGTGTGAGTGTGTGGATTGCGAGGTGGGTGCGTGAATGCGTGAATGCGTGAGCCAGTGAATGAGTTAAATATTGAGGGAAAGTCATTTGATTATTATCATTAGGTTGGGGGTGGGGTGGGGGTGGGGGTGGGGTGGGGTGGGGTGGGGGGTGGGGGGGGTGGGGGTATCATGGTTGCTGGTTCGACTGAGTGTTTGAGTGAGTGAGTGTGAGTGTGGATGGATGGGTTGGTGACTGATAGTTGTGTGAGCGGGTGTTTGTGTGGACAGGTGTTAGGGTGTTTGGTAGAGGGGTTGATAGGTGGGTGGTGGGTGCGTGCGTGAGTCAGTTAGTCAGTGAATGGGAGAGATATTGAGAGAGAGACAATCAATTTGTAAACAATTTTCAAAGTTTCTTCTCTGTGAAATGACAGTTTGTTTCTTTATATGTAAGTTGACATACATATGAATACACTTATACAATGCTCACGCAATATAACATTAGTTAACAATCTATACAAAATGAAATGTAAAGACAACGTTCCATAGGACCCGCTGATTTATCCTAACTGACACATTTATAATTGTCTAGATTTATAACAAGTTCATTGTGCATCTCGATCACTAGTTATTTTCTAGAAATATAATTTGTGGTTAATTCGAACAAACGAACTGATCATTGCATGCTGACTAACTCGTGGTCCAATACCATTGTACAAATGCAAACATTGCCTAAGTCTTAAAATCGAAGGAGACACATATTATGATATGAGTTGACTTGTTGCAAAACGCATTTCGATAAAGCGGTTCGAGTGGCTAAATACGAACTATGTGCTCACGTGTTTGGAAGTAACATCGACGGTGGCTTTCTGTTCACTTCAATACATATATATGCTGTAGGGTGTTATGAATACGTTTCAATAACGTTTCGGTTCTCTGAAAAGACGCTTTCAAAATGTGTAAAGTCATTACAAATGTACTGTTATAATGTGTATGTGAGTAGCGTCCTTGGTAACACAACTCTGCCCAGTATGTGCACGTGTTTGTGGTCACATGGTTAGCAACGCGCTCCGGGTCTCCCTTTATATATACACAGTTTGTCTGCCAAACATTCTACACGTCGTCTCCCTAGACTCCTAAACGTCCCAGTGAGTACAGCGTCATCGTCAACTAAAAAAGGCACCATGGTGAGTTGATTTTTGAAGCACTTGTGACTTATTTTCATGATGATACCAAATTTGAATGCTATGGGTGAAGCATCCCTTTAAACCGAATTCGCTATTTACAAACCATACATGTTGCCCCGATAATGTGCCGTGAAGTGTGTGTGGTATATACAATACAAAACGAGCTCCCGTTTCATAAAATTGGTATTGCACAGGAGAGAGTTTATTATTTTATTTAATACTTGCCACTTATAACTTTCTATAATCTCATGATCGACCTATGGGAGTTCCTTCATAAACTAAGTCAAGCGTGTGTAAATAGCCCGTGAGACATAGACACGATCCACAGCATAATGAGTGTCACAGAATGCTGCAATTGTAACTAACTTGAGGACTTTTATCATTTTGTGTATATTTTACCCTACGTTGAAAATATCGATTACTATTAGGTGGGTCAGTTTTATGATTTAATATTTGGACGGTGTACAGTAACTGGGTCCATGCGATCATGAGTTCATTTTCGTTTTTAGAGGGAATGCGTCTCCATCCATGTTGGTCAAGCCGGTGTCCAGATGGGCAATGCCTGCTGGGAGTTGTACTGTTTGGAGCACGGTATCCAGCCTGATGGTCAGATGCCCTCTGACAAGACCATCGGGGGTGGTGACGATTCCTTCAACACCTTCTTCAGCGAGACTGGAGCAGGGAAACACGTCCCCAGGGCTGTCTTCGTTGATCTCGAGCCAACTGTTATTGGTAAGGACTTTCATTGCACATAAAATAGTCTTTTTAATTCTCTAACATTATACTGTGTTAACTACGTCTTGGTAAGATTCTTTAAAATGCAAACTGATTTTCTTTTTGTGATTTTTGTATTGACTGTTTATTTAATATGAAACATATGGTTGGAGTGTATTGAATATACACATTGAATGAACACAATCTTAACTTAATGCTTGTTTCCTACAGATGAGGTCCGTACCGGAACCTATCGTCAGCTGTTCCACCCAGAACAGCTGATTACTGGGAAGGAGGACGCCGCCAACAACTACGCCCGTGGTCACTACACCATCGGCAAGGAGATCGTCGACCTCGTCCTTGACCGCCTCAGGAAACTGGCTGACCAATGCACTGGACTCCAGGGCTTCCTCATCTTCCACAGCTTCGGTGGTGGCACTGGCTCAGGTTTCACCTCTCTGTTGATGGAGCGTCTGAGTGTTGACTACGGAAAGAAGTCCAAGCTGGAGTTCGCCATCTACCCTGCTCCTCAGATCTCCACTGCTGTGGTCGAGCCTTACAACTCCATCCTGACCACCCATACCACTCTGGAGCACTCGGACTGCGCCTTCATGGTCGACAACGAGGCCATCTACGACATCTGCCGTCGTAACCTCGACATCGAGCGTCCAACTTACACCAACTTGAACCGTCTGATTGGTCAGATCGTCAGCTCCATCACTGCGTCTCTCCGCTTTGACGGTGCCCTGAACGTTGACCTGACAGAGTTCCAGACCAACTTGGTGCCCTACCCACGTATCCACTTCCCTCTGGCTACCT